CTCTTAAACTTATTCAGCTTTAGTGATTCATTACTTCATCATAGATTTTGGCGGGTGGGGGTGGAGGTTGCCTTCTTGTCAGTTTTTGACTCCTAGTGACTGCTTGGAAAAGTCCCCGCGGTTTTCTTGGCAAGGTTTTTCAGAAGTGGTTTGCCATTGCTTGCTTCCTAGGGCTGAGAGAGAGTGACTGTCCAAGGTCACCCAGTTGGTTTTGTGCCTAAGGTGGGACTAGAACTCATGGTCTCCTGGTTTCTAGCCTGGTGCCTTAACTTTACCCCAAATGGCTCTCTATATGTCACATGCTGTAGCTTAATTATTTCACAATCAGTTGAGAAATGTGAAACCTATGTCTAAAAAAATTCCTTTGTACAATTTTGCCATATTATGAGGTTATACACATTCAATTTTTTTTTTTTTTTTGCATACTGCAGCCAGATTTTCCAAACAAGACAATCACTGCTACACATAATAACTGATCAATACAGAAGGAAGTTAATCTATTTATTCTGCAGTGCAGAATTTTCTAGGCACAGACACTGAAATCAGAATGAATGCAAGTGAGCAGGACTGGATAAGCTTTTGAAATAGTGGAAAACTCATCTATTCATTCAAGGTCAAACTTGATGCTTGCTGTTCACTAAAGGTATATTTGAAGTACTGTATATTTACTTCAATTCATCCTGTATCCCTTTCAGTTTATTAACAGGTGTGCTGATCAAGTCTGGGATTGCAATCCATAAATTGGGAATCATTGAGCCTGATGTTTCTCTGGTATTGTCTGGTGGTTGTCCAGAACAGTAGACCTACCTGCCAAATTTTAATTTTATTTTTTACTTATGTTATTTATTTTCTGGACTTAAATCCTGTCCCATGTGAGATGTCAGGAAAGGAAACTACCCTTGCTCTTGATGGTGCACGCTGGGTAGGTAGCCAGGCAGGAGGACAGTACACCTTTTCTGCATTCTTCATCAAGAGCAGCAACACGCACTTCATTGTCACTCACACACCTTGTGCTGCTGCTCCTCTATTGCTGCTCCTCTTCTATTCTTGACCTCATGCATTCAAAGAAGGAAGCATGAGCATGTGTGTGTGTATGAACATATATTTATTAAAGATTTTTTACATAAGTAAAAGATAAACATAAAAATATATAAAGGAAAGGAAAGGAAAAAAGATAAAAAGTACAAAGAACAGTACAAACAGAAAAAGAGAAAAAGATAAGCAACTTCCAATCTTTTTATAGCAGTTACTAACAAACTTAGTATCCCTCATCCCTCTTTAAAATTACATTAGATTGTTCCCTTCTATCCCATATTCAACCCTTTTAAATCAGCAAATCCAAAAATCATTTCATTTTTTCTATTTTCCACAAAAAGTCCATAAAGGGTTTCTAGTCTTTTATAAAAGTACTTATTGTCTTATCCCTGAATCAAACAGGTCATTTTGCTATTTTTGCAAATCCCATCATCTTCACAATCCAATCCTCCATTGTGAGTATTTCAGTCTTTCTCCATTGTTGCACCTATAATAGTCTTGCTGTAGTTAACATGTACAAAACCAGTCTTACATTAGTATTTTCTAATTGGCTATCCATAAGTCCTAATAAAAAAAAATCGAGCATGCACAGTTCTTAACTCAGCCAGGAATGGTGTAAATCCAATCAGCTGTGCCTTAATAAAGAAAACCAGAGTTAAGTTTAGTACAGGTAGTCGTTAGCTTATGTCCATTCATTCAGCAACCATTCAAAGTTACAGCGGTGCTGAAAAAATGGACACATGACTGGTCCTCAAAGTTCCAGCCATAGCAGCACCATAGCAATCATGCAATCACAGGCTGGGCACTTGAGTTGCAGTGAGCCGCCATCACATGATCACCATTTGCAACCTTCCCTGCCGGCTTCCCACAAGTAAAGTCAACGAGGAAGCCGGCAGGGAAGAATACAAGTCACTTCAGTAAGTCGTTCCTGCTGCTTTTTCTCCTGCCTGCAGCACCACCTCCTGCCTGGGCGTAGCCTCTGCCAGCCTTCCAAGGCCTCCCGCAGCTCCCCAGACCTGCACGTGGCTTCCCCTGGCTTCTTCCACCTTCTGCACCACCCCTGCACTCCTTACCTAGGATTTCCAACTTTTCCCACTTAACAACCTGTCCATCCTGGGGTTACGACAACAACTGGGAGTTCTGGGATTGTTGCTAAACAATGCAGTCACATGATGTCGCACTTTATGACCACATCACTTAGCACCGGCAATCCTGGTCCCAATTGCCATCATAACCCAAGGACTACCAGTATACAAACCTACCCATCATATAATTATTATTCACAAACTCTATGTTTCCTTAGCTAGATACACACTATGCTCAAAGGAAGCAGGGCGTTGTCAGGGAGGGTCAAAAAAGTCTACCATATAATCAAAGCCTTGTGCCTTTTTATACATGTCATGTAGGAAAATGAACACTTGAAATTTTCTTTAAAAATTCTACACTCCCAGTATATTTGGCATGGGTGGGTTTCTGTTCTTTCTTAATGGTCAAAAGTGCAGCTATCTTAAGAACTTAAATATTCTTTAAAGTATTGTATATAATCCCCAAGGATATTTCATCTTACTTGATTCTTTCCACCTCTTTTTCTCCTCGTCAAACTTTATAATTATATACAATTTCATATTTTTTTATGGTGCAACTCCCATCCCTCAGTACAGTGGTGCCTCTACTTACGAACGCCCCTACTTACGAATTTTTAGAGATACGACCAGCTCCGGCCCCAAAAATTTACCTCTACTTACGAACATGCCTCTACTTACAAACCAGATCCGCGGCCATTTTCCCTGCTGCCACGCGATCGCGGCTTCCTGTGGGCGAGATCGCGGTAGCAAGGAGACGTTCGGTGAGGCTTGTGGTGTGTTTTGTGTCGTTTGGAAGGTTTTTGTGT